AACCACAATGAGGTACCACCTTACACCTCTCAGAATGCCTATTATCAAAAAGCCAAAAAAATAACATGTTGGTGAGGTTGTCGAGAAAAGGGAGCTCTTGTATACTGACGGTGGGAATGTAAATTGGTGCAGCCACTATGGGAAATAGTATGGAGGTTTCTCAAAAAGTTAAAAATAGAAATACTGTATGACCCAGCAATTGTGCTTTATCTGAGGTGTTTTATCTGAAGAAAGTGAAAATGTTAATTCAAAGAGAGATATGCACACCTCTCTTCCCTGCAGCAGTATTTACAGTAGCCAAGATATGGAAATAACCTAAGGTTTCATTGATAGATGAATGGATAAAGGAGATGTGGGGTAGATATATACAATGGAATGTCACTCAGCCATAAAAAAGAATGAAATCTTTCCACTGGCGACAACATAGATAAACCTGGAGGATATTATGCTAAGTGAAATAAGTCAGACAGAGAAAGACAAATACCATATGATTTCACTTATATGTGGAATTTAAAAGCAAAACAGTTGGAGCCAGCCCTGATGGTCTAGTGGTTCACGTTTGGTGTTCTCATCACTTTGGCAGCCCAGGTTCACTTCCTAGTCATGGAACCACACCACTGGTCTGTCAGTTGCCGTGCTGTGACAGTGGCTCACATAGAGAAACTGGAAGAACTTACAGCTAGGATGTAGAACCATGCACTGGCGCTTTGGGGAGAAGGGAAAAAAAGCCAAACAGATGAAGAAAACAAAACAAAACCAGGCTCATAGATACAGGAACCAAAATGGTGGTTACTAGAGGGAGGAGGGTTTGTGGGGGGGGGTAGGGAGTGAAATAGGTGAAGAGGATTAAGAGTACAAACTTCCAGTTATAAAATAAATAAGTCATGAGGATGAATGTACAGCGTAGGGAATATAGTCAATAATATTGTAATAACTTTGTGTGATGACAGATAGTAACTGGACTTATCATGGTGATAATTTTGTGATGTATATAAATATTGAATCACTATGATGTATACCTGAAACTAATAGGCTGTTGTATGTCAATTATACTTGTATAAACATAAAGTGTGTTTCTTGTGAATAGCTTAGTGTGGTTTTGCCTTTTTGTCCATTTAACAATATCTGCCTTTTGATTGGAGAATTAATCCATTTGTGTTTAATGTAACTATTTATATGTTTGGATTTAATCTTTTTGCTATTTCTTTTTTGTCTCAGTGCTTTTTGTTCTGTTTCCCTTTTTCTTCCCTCTTTTGTCTTAATCACATGTTTTGGGTACTATGTTTTAATTTCTCTATGGGTTTTTTACCTTTTTTTTCTTTGCTTGAATTATATTACACAACCTAACATCACAGTCTATTTAGAGGCAATACTGGATTAGTTTAGGAAAAATATAAGAACTTTGTAACCGTCTAGTTCCCTTTAAAACTTCTCCCAATCTTTGTGCTATTATTAGAGTGATCAGTTTATATTCTGTTTACCTGCGAATTTCCTGGTTTTAGCACTGAAATTCTTCTGTATGGGCAACTCCCTCAATCCTGGGCAAATTGGAAAGGTTGGTCACCTTTGCTATAGTTATCATGTTTGTTACATCTATAAATGTTACAAACTCAACAATACAATGTTATACTTTTTGCTTTAAGTCAGAAGTGGGCAAAATATGGCTCCCATACCAAATCTGGCTCCTGGCTTGTTTCTCTAGGACCCACAAGCTAAGAATGGTTTTTGCCTTTTTAAAGAGTTACTAAGAAAAAGGAAAAAGAAAAATATGAGACACAGTTATGTGACCCACAAGCCTAAAATGTTCGCTCTGGGACCCTTTACAGAAAAACTTGCTGATATCTTCTTTAACCAATCATATGTCTTCAAAAGAAAAAATAGAAGGAAATAAAAATATATGTACACAGTTGTATTTACACATATATTTATCATTTTAAATTTGAGTAATTTTAAAAGACTGGAGAGCCTTTTTTTTTTTTTCTTTTTTAAAGGAGGTATTAGCACATTGTTTTGGGAGCAATCTTGTGGATCAACCAAATTGATAGTTTTTTTTTTTTTTAAAGGAGCTAATTTTCTTTTCTTTCCTTTCTTTTTTTTGGTGGGGGGGGGGAGTTGGCCCTGAACTAACATCTGTTGGCAGTCTTCCTCTTTTTTTTCTCTTCTCCCCAAAGCCTCAGTACATAGTTGTATATCCTAGTTGTATGTCCTTCTAGTTCTTCTATGTGGGATGCTGTCACAGCATGGCTTGATGAACAGTGTGTAGGTCCATGCCCAGGATCCGAACCCCAGGCTGCTGAAGCAGAGTGTGTGAACTTAACCACTTGGTTGGCCACGGGGCCAGCCCCTATATTATGTTTTATACAAATGTGTCTTAAGGACAGTGGTGGAAGTGTCAGAGAAGGATTATACAAGAGAAATATAATTTATGTTTTTCCAGTGCCATGAAGCACCACCAGGATGAAAAGGATTTGGTAATGTTTTCCAAGGTGAGAGATTATTCCTATTCTTAGTCTAAAATTAAATTAGTTATGTTCTGACATAATTTGACTTGAGTAATTATAAATCTCTTTGGAAGAAATAACTTCAGTATTTAAAACATTTTTAGGGGCTGGCCCCGTGGCCGAGTGGTTAAGTTGGCGCACTCCGCTGCGGGTGGCCCAGTGTTTCATTGGTTCGAATCCTGGGTGCGGACATGGCACTGCTCATCAAACCACGCTGAGGTAGCGTCCCACATGCCACAACTAGAAGGACCCACAACGAAGAATATACAACTGTGTACCGAGGGGCTTTGGGGAGAAAAAGGAAAAAAAAAATCTTTAAAACAACTTTAGTAAAATCTACATAAAATAAAGTTTACCATTTTCACCATTTTTAAGTATACAGTTCCATGGCATTAAGTATATTCACAGTGTTGTACAACCATCACCACCGTTCGTTTCCAGAACTTTTCTTGTTATCCCAAGCTGAAACTCTGCACCCCTTAAACAACAACTTCCCATTCCCCACTCCTCCCAACTCCTGGTAACCTCTCTCCTACTTTCTGTCTATGAATTTGCCTATTCTAGGTAACTCATGTAAGTGGAATCATACAACATTTGTTCTTCCTGGTATTTTTTTGTGTATTTGTTGTTTTAATTATTATCTTAGGTATTTTTTTTCTGTTTTTCTAATAGAGCTATTTTGTTTTCTATTTGATGAATGTTTTGACACCGAGCATGATTTTATGAATTTTATACCTTCTAACAGTGATTTTTGCTTCTCTGTGTAATAAAGGATTGGAATGAATTGTTTATAGCGTGGTTACTTTTTTAGCTCCTTTTACTCTAGGAAACAAAATAAGACAAGGACTTTTTTCTTAGGTTTGTTTACAGTATTGCTTGGAAAAATGTAAAAACAATTTATGTTCAAGGAGTCAATTGATGTAGTTGCCCCTACAAACAATATTATCAGTAAATAATATTTTGGATTTTTTTTCTTTTTAAAATCCTGGAAATGCAACATTAGAGCAATTCATTAATAGTCTTCAACACAGAGTACACGTTGTATTGTCCTTAACTCTTGGATTAATAGTATCCAACTTGTCCAACCCATTTTACAGTTGTTTTTACAGGGAGCTCTTTTTATAAATGGATTTGGTGGAGGTAGTAGTAGTTTGTTGTTATCATGGTGATAATTAGCTCAGTTGCAGGAATGTTACGTTAAACCTTTTCATTACATAATGGACATCAGCCTGTTAATTGAATGTGAGTGTGTACTGTTTCTCATTTAACAGTTTTTGATAGTTCTGAATGTGGGCATAGATGATTTTCTTGGGCATATGTTTAGTCTTAAATAAGTGAATTAATACTTTTGAACTTGATTTGAACAAAGATGTAAAATGAAAAAATGATAAACATGCCTATCTCTGGCATATATATCTTTTTAAAAAATTAATGTTTTTAGTTGTGATTTGAAGAACCAAATGATATACTTAATAAAATGTGGACTTGGACACACCTGAAGTGCAGGTGTGTTTTGGAAATCAGTTATTAAAGTTTTTCTCTTAAATACAAGCTAGAGTTCTGCTTTTTCAGTATTTTTACTGTTGACTTAAACAAATAAAACAAACTGGTTATTTTACCAGCAAAATGGGTTTATTTGGGAATAGCAGATGAATTGCAATTTGAGACAAGCAAGTTACAGCAAAAGCCATAGGCAAACAAAAGAGAGGAACATTACTTTATAGAGCAAAAGAGAAAGTTGGGTGGGGCTGTTTGGACAAAACTCCATTGGTGGAAAGCAAGTTCAGGGTGGGATGGTTTCTCATTGGCTTGTTTGCTGGGCAAGGAGGAAATCTTCCTTCCTTCTGCTGGGGACCCAAACCTGCGAACCCTGGGCTGCCAAAGCAGAGCTCGCAAACTTCACCACTATGCCACTGGGCTGGTTCCCACATTCTCCCTTTTGATCAAGACCTTTCTTTGAAAGCATTGCTGATCAAGAGTCAGGTTTTCCTGATTCAGTGGCTTTTGTTCCTTGGTGCCAAGAAGAGAGCCTTCCTGGATGTTGTGTCTCATGTCAGAGGGAAAGTTCACAGATTAGAAACCTATTGAGGTAATATTTGAGTAATAAGGAGGGGTAGGAGGGAGAACTCAGGCCCTTCCCGTCTAAAGTCTATGTTTTATCAAGGTCATAAGTGTTGGAGATCATTTTGCAGTGTCGAATCAGCATCACGTTATTGGATATATTGTTTTTATAAAAGGTTTGGGAGGCAACAAGTACAAAACTTAAAAATAATTATACAAAACAGAATCAAAAGTAACATGACAGGGACCGGCCTGGGGGGGTAGCAGTTAAGTTCGTGTGCTCCACTTCGGTGGCTTGGGGTTTGCAGGTTTGGATCCTGGGTGTGGACATACGTACTGCTTATTAAGCCATGCTGTGGCAGGCGTCCCACATAAAAGTAGAGGAAGATTGGCACAGATGTTAGTTCAGGGCCAGTCTTCCTCAACAAAAAGAGGAGGATTGGCAGTAGATGTTAGCTCAGGGCTAATTTTCCTAAAAAAACAAAGAAAAAGAAAATAAGTAGCATGACAATTCCAAATTGTACGATGGTTCTAAAGTAGGATCCTAGGCCTGAAAGTAGCCAACTGAACAAATCAAGGGACCATGGAGAGCCAGGTGAGACTTGTTGCAACCAGTATGCTTGCTCCATGATTGTATGCAATTGAGTTTCTATTTCCCCAGAGGAGTTTGTCCATGTGCTATAGGTGGTGGCCACTATTGCACACCTTCCTGCTCGGCAAGTAGGTAATTGAGAGCTAAGACTACATTAGCTAGTGAGTTAAGTAATCATTGGGCTGCTACTGTTTTTGGCTTTAGAATTGGCTAGCTCTCTCAATATTAGGGAGAAGTTTCTAATCATGTTGTCACTGGCACTTACTTCATCCCAGGGGAAAAAGCCTCTTCTTCTGGAGGCAAATCCGGAGTCTTGTATGCTTCCTGGACGTTCCTGCTTAAGGTAACCATGAGGATTTAGTAAAGTGGATCAATGGGAGGCTTCTGTTAGTTAGGAAGAGAAAATAGAACAGTGAACACAGGAAGAGAACAAACTTGTAGAATTAACTGAGAGCATTGGGAAGATACAGTGGGGGAATAAACATGAAGTAATAGCTCTTCACAACTCTTCACAAAAATAGCAAAACTCTGAAGATGTATTAAGACAGTATTGTTATCTCAAAAGAACTGTTTGGAACCAAATAGGTTGCCCACTAATACAGCTTATGAGGTCGCAAATTCAGAAACCATGAATTTGGGTAAGAACCCAGAGTCAGTTAATAGTCCAGAGGAAAGAGAGACTTCTGCGAATTCTGAACTTTCTAACTCTTTAGAAAAAGCAAGTGAAAAGATTAATTTGTCGTAGGATTATGATGAGGCTGTTTCCAAAAGGCCATAATTAAAAGAGGTTTTGGGGGCCAGCCAAGTGGTTAAGTTCGCGCACTCTGCTTCAGTGGCCTAGGGCTTCACTGGTTTGGATCCTCGGTGCGAACATGGCACCACTCATAAGGCCATGCTGAGGCGGTGACCCACATAGCACAACCAGATGGATCTATAACTGGAATATGCAGCTATGTACTGGGGGGCTTTGGGGCGAAGAAATGAAAAAAAAAAAAAGATTGGCGACAGTTGTTAGCTGAGGTGCCAATCTTTAAAAAAAAAAAAGGTTTCCCTTATGAGCCTTAAAAATAAAATAGCTAGTTATTTTATCAGCAAAATGAGTTTATTCGGGAAAAACCAAAGAATTCCAATTTGGAAACACATTCTATGGCAAAAGCCATAGGCAAGTCCAACAATCAAAGGAGAGGAACATTTTTTGATAGGGAAAAAGGAGGAAATTGGGAGGGGTTGTTTTGAATGAAAGTCCACTGGAGAAAAGCAAGAGCTCAAGGTGGTGATGGTTTCTCATTGGCTGAATTGCTAGGGTAGTCAATTTCTATTCGGGATGCAATGCACATTTTTTTCTGTTGGGGTCTGTAATTGACTGTCTTTCCTGTAATTGACCTTGAGTGGTACTGTGCGAAAACTCCCCTTTCTGGCCTCCCAACTCCATTTATTTTGTTTTTTATATTTTTAAAGATTGGCACCTGAGCTAATATCTGTTGCCAATCTTCTTTTTTTCTTCTTCTCCCCAAAGCCCCCCAGTACATAGTTGTATATTATAGTTGTAGGTCCTTCTGGTTCTGCTTTATGGGATGCCACCTCAGCATGGCCTGATATGCGGTGCCACGTCCACGCCCAGGATCCAAACCTGTGAAACCCTGGGCCACTGAAGTGGGGCATGTGGAACTTTAACCACTTGGTCACAGAGCTGGGCCCAGAGATGCTCTTTATTTCCTTATTTAGGTGAGGAAGATTGACCCTGAGCTAACATCTGTTTCCAGTCGTCCTCCTTTTGCTTGAGGGAGATTGTCCCTGAGTTAACATCTGTGCCAATCTTCCTCTATTTTGTCTGTGGGATGCTGCCTCAGCATGGTTTGATGAGCAGTGTGTAGGCCCACGCCCAGGATCCGAACCCGTGAACCCTGGGGCGTCTCAGCAGAGCACACAAATTTAACCACTACTCTGCTGGGCTGGCCAAGGAGGCTATTTTTTAAACACACATATCGTAATTATTGTACCTAAAAATTCTTATTCCATTTTCATCTATCTAAATAATTTGTTCCCAACAATTATGTTCGGATTATTCACAAAAACTTCATGAGACGTTAGACAAAGTTGGCTGTCATCTCAAGTGATTTTTTTTTTTGCTCACAAATTTTGCTGCAAAGATAACATGAACTTATTTGACTAATAAACTGAGGTAGAAGAAAAATATTATATTTAATGCTGACAACTCTAAAGACCTACCTGTTTCAATTAAACCAACAAACTTAAACTAGCTTTAATTCTGATATTTTCTCAGATCATGTGAACCTGAAAAGCACTTGGGTGAGGTTCTGTTATATTACTGAAATATATTTTTTTAGGAATGCTTTATATAAGCATGTGATTTTCCTTAAGGCAATTAAATAGAACTCTTTTACAAATTAATTTTGGCAATACCATTCAGAGGTAGAAAAATATCACATATCTGTTACATACATACACAGACATACATAGCATACAGATAGACACAGAAATTTTAAAATTTTAGCCATATCTCAAGTACAAAACTCATACAAACTTTCTGGCAGAGTTAGGTTACCTGTTCAGGTGACCAGTTTTTTTTAATTGAAGGTTTTTTATTTGTATGCTAGAAGGATCCTTTTAGAGCTGTTTTTGAAGTCATTTTGTCTTTTAGAAACTTTAGCATCTAAATTACTTTTGGTTAAGTCGGTCCACTTAGTTATAAATGCACATCAGAATGGACTGCAATCTTTAAACATAAAACTGGATGGGGTCCCTGAGGAGGAGGAGTGCCCTCAAAGCATTTAGATGCCTGGGATCCCATTTCTCTGAGGTTTTTCTCCAGGGCAAAAGAAAAATTTCTAAACAGCCTGATTCTGATGGAATCATGCCAAATGCTAGCACACTTCTAATAGGCCTAATTACACCAAACAAGTACTCCTAGAAAGGACAAAGGCTTTAAACAGAAAGGATGAAGCTTTTATACAGAAAGGATGAAGGCTTTATAAAACAGATCTTGAATAAAGCTAGATAGCTCAAAATGCAAAGAGAGAAGAGATTGAATCTAGGAGAAAACTTAACCTCATACTCCAGGGTCGGCAAGAAAGCAGTGACCTCAGTGGGCTCTGGGTACCAGCACCCGTTTGCCCACCAGCCTTGGAGTTGTTGGGGGTCTTCTCTGGATCTCACTGCTGACACCATGTAATGTTAACCTAAACAAACAAAACAACCAGTTATTTTCCCAGCAAAATAGGTTTATATGGGAATAGCAGAGGAGTTGCAATTCAGGACAAGCAAGTCCTGTCCTGAAAAGTCACAGGCAAGTCAGCAAACAGCGGAGAAAACGGAGGAAGTTGGGAGGGGTTGTTTTGAATGAAAACCCGTAGGTGGAAAGCAAGAGTTCGGAGTGGTGACAGTTTCTGATTGGCTGAGTTGCTGGGCAAGGAGGAAATCTTCTTCCTGCTGGGGTAGTGATTGATGATTCTTCCTGTTGGGGTCTGTAATTGATGTTGAGTAGTAATGTGTGAGAGCTCTCCCTTCTGGCCTCCTGACCTCATTTTAAATGAGGTTTTCTTTATTCTGTTTCACATTACTGAAGTAAAAGAACTGTACCAGAATTTTAGTTAGCTTAATTAGTTTAATTAATAAAGTGCTTATGTTCGAGAATATAAGGCATCTTGAAATTACATGAATATAAAGCACTATAACTAGGCTTTATTAAAGAAAAACAGTAAGAGAATGGGCTGTTTTACATATGGAATTACAGTTTTTTGTCTGTACTTATTCTTGCTGGTACTGTTTTGTTGAAAATCATTTCTGGTTTTTGGTGAATAATTTTTGATTTAAGGATCATCATTAGTGAAACTATTTGGTGGCAGTATCTCTTCAAAAGTTTTTCTTGCAAGGGATTTAACTGTTAAAGTATGATGAAATGTCTAAATAAGATCACAGTGGATTGTATCATATCAATGTCCTGGTCATGATATTATACTGTAATTTTGCAAAGTGTTACTATTGGAGGAAAGGCCAAAATGTGTAGGGATCTCTATAGTATTTTTTTTTTCAGGAAGATTAGCCCTGAGCTAACATCTACTGCCAGTCCTTCTCTCTTGTTTTCTTTTTTGTTGAGGAAGATTGGCCCTGAGCTAACATCCGTGCCCATCTTCCTGTATTTTATATGTGGGACGCCTGCCAGATCAAGGCTTGACAAGTGGTACATAGGTCTGCACCCGGGATCCAAAGCAGCAAACCCTGGGCCACCAAAGCAAAACTTGTGAACCTAACCGCTGCACCACCAGGCTGGCCCCTCTCTGTAGTATTTCTTATAATTGCATGTGACTCTACAATTTCCTTAAATAAAAAGTAAACAAAACAAATAAAAGGCAAAAAAAAAAAAAAAAAAGTAACAGACTTCTGTTTTTGGCCAAGGTGGAGTAATAGAGACCAGATTTATTCTCCCACCTGAAACAGCTATGAAAAAACAGATGAAACATTTGAAACAATGGTTTTGAAGACACTGGACATCAGGCAATGAAGGATAGTTACCCTGAGAATTGAGAAACAAATTAGATGAGCCCTATGGTTCTCCCAAGAGAATTCTTGGCTATGGCTTAGGGAAAGGACGCTCAGGAGTAGCATGGCAGGCTCTCTGAGTTGAGGAGATGGAGCCAAGGAAACAAAAAGCTGAAACAGGTCCACAATTTAACCCAAATAGAAACCCAAAATTTCCAGTTAGATTTTGTGCAACGAAAAGATAAAAGGGCTCTGATTGCCTTTTGTGCCTTGACAACATAGATTCTGAGTTAACTTTAACATCTGCTGAAGTGTACCAATTGACAAACCTTCATGGCCTTAATTGATACTGGGCCTCCAATTACAGTTGTATCTGGGAGCTCACTAAATTTAAACAAGGTACACCTATACTTTCAGAGAAATTACCAAATGTAAAATAGAGAACAGATAGGTGTGTCTCACCTTAACCATCAGAACTATTCCTTTGCCTAAATTCCCCATAGACATAGTGTCTCTTAGCCTAAAATATCCCATAGTGGGCATGGATGCCCTGACCCATTAAGTAATACATTAAAATTAAGTCTCTGGCACTTACCATCAGCTTTACCAAACGGGACCCCACAGACTTCCTGGTCCCCCCAGTTAAAATAGTTAACATGGCACAGTGTAAAGGGAAACAAGGCCTTCATGAATTGAAACCTCTGATACAAGAATTATTTAGAGAAGGAATTATCCTCACTGCTTCTCCATTTAATTAGCCCAATTTTACCTGATTTTTAAACTTGGAAAGAATGAATGGTGCCATGCATTCCATTACCACAACGTTAATGCTGTCCTACCCTTTAAGGCCTCTGTACCCAATATAATGGAAATTACTGACTCAGTCCAATCAATATCTCATAAATGCTTTGCATAGATTTAACTAACATGTTCTGGTTAGTGCCGTTTGAAGACTCTCTCAGCCATACCTTGCCATCATCTTCAAGGGAATATAATACACCTTTACCTAGCTACCCATGGGGTACCTCAACAGCCCTGCCGTCGCACCCAGTCTTTACAGTCAGGATCTTAAAGCACAAACCTCATATAATTGCCATAATGGCTTGTTTAAACAAGTTCACGTTCAGTTAAGTGAAACAGCACATTTCAGTCATCAGTTAACATTGGGAGAGTGAATTATAATAAAGTGCCTGACTCCCGTTTTTGATGTTTGATTGCTGACAGCTTTGAAGCCTCAGCATGTCTTTCCCCTCCTGTCCCACATCTGGGCAAGTTGATAAGAAAGGCCAGTACTCCCTCCTTTAGTGACAGCAGAAAGTTCAAATTGTGTAAGCCATAGCCACTCACATGCAGGAACCCTCACCCCAGCCCCTCCTCCTAACCACAATAAAAACAGAGCCAATCTTCTTTACCTGCTCTCTCAAGCCATTTTGGACCTGCCTGGGAGCCTGCCTTGTACTCCCAAAAAGCCTCTTTATGAAAGGCTTTTCATACCCTCCTGGTGCATGGATGGTATCATCAGTGTCAACATCTGAACCAAATTTTAGATAGGAGGTCCATCTGTCTCTGCAGGGTGACCAGAGTAGTAGAGAAAGGGTATTTTTCTCAACAGGTGCTGCTAGAACAAGTGGATATGCCTATGCCAAAAAACCACAACTTTTTCTCTAATTTTTCTAACTGTGGTAGGATACACATGACAAAATTTATCATCTTAACCATTGTTTTTTTTAAAGATTGGCACCTGAGTTAACAACTCTTGCCAATCTCTTTTTTCTTTTTCTTCTTCTCCCCAAACACCCCTAGTACATAGTTGTATATTCTAGCTGTATGTCCTTCTAGCTCTGCTATGTGGGACCCCGCCTCAGCATGGCTTGATGAGCGGTGCCATGTCCACGCCCAGGATCCGAACCAGCAAAACTCTGGGCCGTTGAAGTAGAGCACACGAACTGAACCACTCAGCCATGGGGCTGGCCCCCATCTTAACCGTTTTTAAGTGTGCAGTTCAGTGGTATTAAGTACATTCGTATTGTGCAACCATCACCGCCATCCATCTCCAGAACTCTTCGTCTTGCAAAATTGAAACTGTATTCCTATTAAACAATAATGTCCATTCTCCTTCCCCCCAGCCTCTGGCAACTACCCATCTATTTTGTGTCTCTATGAATTTGACTACTCTAGGTACCTCTTAGAAGTGGAATCATCTGGTATTTGTCTTTTGTAAGTGGCTTATTTCACTTTGCATAGTGTCCTCAAGGTTCATGTTGTGTAGCTTGTTTTGGAAAAATCTGAGGACTGGTGTTCTTTAAAGATTTAAAAAATTTTTTTATTTTTCCTTTTTTCTCCCAAAGCCCCTCGGGTACATAGTTGTGTATTTTTAGTTGTGGGTCCTTCTAGTTGTGGCATGTGGGATGCTGCCTCAGCATGGCTTGATGTGTGGTGCCATGTCCGCGCCCAGGATTCGAACTGGTGAAACCCTGGGCCGCCGAAGCAGAGTGTGCGAACTTAACCACTCGGCCGCGGGCCGGCCCCTAGGACTGGTGTTCTTTAAATGTTTAGTAGAACTCACTAGGAAGCCATCAGGTCCAGGGTTTTTCTTTGTTGGGAGATTTTTGATTCCTGATTCAGTTTCCTTACTAGTTGTAGTCTCTTATATTGTCTATTTGTTCATGATTCAGTCTTGGTAGGTTTTGTGCTTCTAGGAATTTGTCCATTTCATCTAGGTTATCCAATTTGTTGGTATACAGTTGTTCACAGTACTCTCTTATAATCCTTTTTTCCCCCCCTGCTTTATCTCCCCCAAATCCCCCCAGTATATAGTTGTATATTCTAGTTGGGACTGCCTCTAGTTGTGGCATGTGGGACGCTGCCTCAACGTGGCCTGACGAGCAGTGCCATGTCCATGCCCAGGATCCGAACCAGCGAAACCCTGGGCCGCCACAGCAGGGCGCGCAAACTTAACCACTTGGCCATGGGGCCGGCCCTCTCATAATCCTTTTTATGTCTGTAGAATTAGTAGTAATACCCCCCACTTTCATTTCTGACTTGGTAATTTAAGTCTCCTCTCTTTTTTTAGTCAATCTAGCTAAAGGTTTGCCAATTTTGTTCATCTTTTTGAAGAAACCAACTTTGATTTCATTGATTTTCTTTATTTTTCTGTTCTCTATTTTGTTTATCTCTGTTCTAATCATTATTATTTCCTTATTTTTCTTAGCTTTGGGTTTAGTTTATTCTTCTTTTTCTAGTTTCTTAAGTTGTAAAGTTATTGATTTGAGATGTTTCTTCTTTTTTTTAATGTGTTTACAGCTATAAATTTTCCCCTTAGCATTGCTTTCACTGTGTCTCATGAGTTTTGGTATGGTATATTTTCATTTTCATTCATCTCTAAGTATTTTCTAATTTTCCTTGTGATTTCTTTTTTGATCCATTGGTTATTTAAGAGTATGTTGTTTATTTTATACAAATTTATGAATTTTCTATCTGTTGTTGATTTTTAACTTTATCCTGTTATGGTTGGAGAAGATACTTTGAATGATAACTGTCTTTAAAAATGAACTTTGAATCTTGCCTTGTGCCATATACAAATAATATTTCAAGGTGGATCATAGACTAAATGAAAAACTTAAAACTATGAAACGTCTAGAAAATAGTAAAAAATCTTTGTGAACTTAAGTTAGGCAAATGTTTGTGAACTTAAGTTACTTAAGTTTCTGAACTTAAATGCTTGTCAAAGAATCTTTGTGAACTTAAGTTAGGCAAATTACAACACCAAAAGTATGACCCGTAAAAGAAAAAAATGATAAATTGGACTTCATCAAAATGAAAACTTCTACTCTGAAAGTCATCGTTAAGAGAATGGAAAGAAGATACAAACTGAGATTAAAATCTTTGCAAAGCATATATCTGATAAAGGACTGGTATCAAAAATTTTTAAAGGACTCTCAAAACTCAATAAGAAAACAACGCAATTTAAAAATGGGCAAAAATTTGAGTAGACATTTTACCAAAGTACACATATGGCAATTAAGCACATGAAAAGATGCTCAACATCATTAGTCATTAGGGATATGCATATTACCACAGTGAGATCCCACTGCCCTATTAGAATGGCTAAAATTAAAATGACACAACATACCAAGTGTTGGTGAGGATGTGGAGGAACTGGAATTCTCATACAGTGCTGGTGTGATTGTAAAATGGTACAGCCACTTTGGAAAATAGTTTGGTAGTTTTCTTAAAAAGTTAAACATACCTACCATTCCTACCATATCTACATTTTAGGAAATAATTTTTGTGCTTCACTTCTTCCCCTGGCCCTCATGTTAGCATTATTAACCATGTATTGTATGCATGGAACTGTAAAGGACTGGGAGAATGGGAAGGATATGATTCCTATCTCAAATAATTTTTATGAGGAGGTGGAGTTTAAATATATATGTGATTTCTGCCTTCAAGTAACTTATTGTGTGGGTTGACGAGATCACATAAACACTTGAAAAGTTTAATAAATAGTAAAATAGTAATATATGTTTTCCTTTTTGTCTTCTCTAGGTTCCTGTTGCATGTAAATCTTGTCCCTGTGGTTATGTATTTATTAATAGGAAACTTCTAAAAATAAAACACTCAGAGAAATCATCACCTTTTACAGGTAATTGTGAGAGTTTACCACCTTTCCATCTTTTATAGTTTGTATCATATAAATTTAAAATTAATGTTTATGAGTTAAGAAATTCTTTTGCTGGTGAAGTTATAATATTAAAATCTGTTGAAGTGCATCTTTGGCTTTTATTAGATACGATATGTCAGTTTTTGACATTGATTTGTTCTTTATCCAACTTAAATGTTAACTCCTTTACGATAACTTTGTAACAAATTTTAAGAAATTTTGATTTGAAAATGTTAACTGGAAGAAAGGGAACCTTGATTTAGTATTAATATAATCTTTTAAAGTACCAGTTACTTTGTTCAATTCACTGATTTAGACTATCTAAAACATTGCTGATTTTAATTTTGCTTGGGTTTGTAGTTTTCTCTTTAGTTGACAAATCTAGATTTATTCAGTAAGTGTATTCATAAAAGGTGGGGTTTTGTTACTACTATTTTTTCCTATGATAAGATCAGACATTCTAACAGTAGTGAACCAAAAATGGGAGCAGATTTATTACAAACATTTATTGAGTGCCTTCCAGGTATTGTACATCTAGGGTATACAGCAATAAATCTGCTACCAAGACAGCTTTAGTGCTGTCATAGTGCAGGAAGATACATACACAGGAATATATGTATGGAATATATAGGAAAAATATCAGCTAGTAATAAGTACTGAGCAGGAAATTAAAATAGGGTGCTGTCCTAGAGGTTGACTGGAAGGCTGCTTTTGATGGAGTGGTCGGGGAATGTATCTCTGAGGAGGTAATTTTAGCTAAGATCTGAATAGATAAAGGGGCTAGACATACGAAAACTAGGGAAATCGAATTCTAGGTAGAGGGGAAAGCAAAGATGAAAGTTGCAAGGCTGAACTTATTCTAGGAATGCAAGGTTGGTACAATATAAGGAAATCTGTTAATAATATATATCATGTTAATAAATATAAGGAAAAAATTATGAAGTTCTCTCTCTAGATGCTGAGAAACCCTTTGGCAAAATTCATTACCCATTCATGATAAAGGCAATCAAGAAAATAGGAATTGAGGAATACTTTTTAACTTGATAAAGTGTTCTAGTGTTAAAGCTTGTACCTTATTTAAACGGGGAGACACTACAGGTTTTTCCATTAAGATCAGGAACAAGGCAAGCATACCCACTGTTTCCACTACTGTTCAGCATTGTGGTAGAGGTAAATTAGCTAAGTCAATTAGATAAGAAAAATCAATAAGAGGCTTAAGAACGGGTAACAAAGAAGCAAAACGGTGTGTGTCTGCGGATCAGAGTATGCCTGGACCCCAGAGAATCAGTAACAAAACTAACTAAAACAGAAAGAGTTAAGTGAAGGAGGAGGATTTAGAATTAACCTACAAAATGTAAACAGAACATAGCGTTAGAGAAAAGCCCATTTATAATAGCAACATACAAGATTAAATACTTAAGAATAAATTTAATAAGAAAGGTGCAAAACCTATTCAAGGAAAATTTAAAACATTCCTGAAAGACCTTAAAGAAGATTTAAACAAATGGTAAAACATCGCTTGTTCTTGAATAGTTTGACTCAACATCGTAAAGATGTCAGTTGTCCCTAATTTATAAAATCAATGTAATCCTATAAAAATCCTTGCAAGTTGTTTTATCGTTACACAAACTGATTTTAAAGTTCATATGGAAAAACAAACATGCAAAATAGCTAGGAAAATTGTCAATTGACTTTAAGTAAGGGTCCAAAGGAAATTAAATGGGAAAGTGTAATCTTTTCAAAAAATGGTGTTGGGACACATGCTGGCTGTCTGTGTGCAAAAAATGAAGTTGGGCCCCTATCTCACACCTTACACAAAAATTAATTCAAAAAGGATCATAAACCTAAATGTAAGAGCTATTAAAACTATAAAACTTGTAGAGGAAAACGTAGCAGTAAACCTTTGTGACCTCGGGTTAGGCAGTATTTTCTGAAATATGACACCAAAAGTACAAGTGAGGGGGCTGGCCTCGTGGCCGAGTGGTTAAGTTTGTGTGTTCTGCTTTGGCTTCGCCCGTTCGGATCCTGGGCGTGGATCTAATACCACTCATTAAGCCATGCTGAGGCAGCATCCCGTAAAGCAGAGCCAGAAGTGCCTACAACTAGAATATACAACTATGTAGTGGGGTACTTTGGGGAGAAGGAGAAAAAAAAAGATTGGTAATGGATGTTAGCTCAGGTGCCAATCTTAAAAAAAAAAAGTACAGATGACAAAAGAAAAAATAAATTGGACTGTATCAAAATTTAAAACTTTTTTTGCTGCACATGATATCAAGAAAGTGTAAAGACAACTCACAGAATGGGGAAAACTATTTGCAAATCACATATCTGCTAAGGGACTTGTATCCAGAATATATAAAGCACTCTTACACCTCAATAATAAAAAGAAAAATAATTCAATTTTAAAAAATGGGCAAAGGATTTGAGTAGAATTTGTGCAAAGATATACAAATGCTCAATAAGTACATGAAAAGATGTTCAATATTATCAGTCATTAGAGAAATGCAAATCAAAATTACAAGATAGTACTTCATACCTACTAAGATGGCAATAATAAGAAAGACAGAAAATAAGTATTGGTGAAGAAGTGGAAAAATTGAAACCCTCATATGCTGCTGATAGGAATGTAAAATGCTGCAGCCACTTTGAAAGTAATCTGCCAGTTCCTCAAATGGTTAAATATAGAGTCACAATACGACCCAGCAATTCCACTCGTAGATATATACCCAAGAGAATTGAAAACATAAGTTGACACACAGACTTGTGCGTGAATGTTATTAGCAGCATTATTCATAATAGCTAAAAAAGTGGAAACAGTCCTGATGTCCATAAACTGATGACAAACAAAAGTGGTATATCCATATAAAGGAATATTGATAAAAAGAAAGGAAGTACTGATATATGCTACAACATGAATGACTCTTGAAAATGTGTTAGGTGAAAGAAGCCAGTCATAAAAGATCACACACTGTATGATTCCAGTTATAGGAAATGTCCAAATAGGCACTTTTATAGACAGAAAATAGATTGATGATTTAGAGCTGGGAAAGGGATAGGAGGAGAATGGGGAATAACTGTTAATGGGTAATTTCTTTGAGAGGGGCAAAAATGTTCTAAAATTAGATTCACAACCCTGTGGATATACTATAAAGCCTCTATAATTAAAACATTGTGGCATTGGCATAGACAAATAGACCAGTGGAAGAAAATAAAAAGTGCAAAATTAGACCCAAATTCATATGGAAAGTTTGTATATGACAAAGGTATATTTCAAATCACCGGGGTAAAGATGGACCTTTTTTCTTTTTTTTTTTTTATTGTTGTAGAGTATACTTAACATAATATTTATCATTTTAACCATTTGTAAGTGTACAATTCAGTGGCATGAAATACACTCACAATGCTGTGTCCCCATCGGTACTATTTTATACCTAAAACTTTTTCACCATCCCCACATAAACTCTGTACCCATTGAACAATCTTTCCCTTCCCCTCCCTCTGTCCCCCAGTCCTGTGCAATCTCTATTTTCCTTTCTGTCTGTATCCTTTTTATGGCTGATTAATTTCCATTTTATGTATGTACCACATTTTGCTTATCCATTCATCTGTTGATGGACACTTGGATTGTATTACCTGTGGTGATTAACTTTGGTGATTGTGAATAATGCTGCCGTGAACATTAGTGTACAAGTATCTGTTTGAATCCCTGGTTTCAGTGCTTTGGATATATAGTAGTCCCTCCTTATTTGAGGTTTTGCTTTCCGTGATTTCAGTTACCCGCAGTGAATTGCAGTCTGAAAATATTAAATGGAAAATTCCATAGATAAACAGTTCATAAGTTTTAAGTTGTGCACTGTTCTGAGTAGCATGATGAAATCTCACGCCATTCCACTCCATCCCACCTGGGAGATGAATCATCCCTTTGTCCAGCATATCCACACTGTATGTGCTACCCACCCATACTCAGTCACTTAGTAGCTGTCTTAGTTATCTGCAGTGCTTGTGTTCAAGTAACCCTTATTTAACTTAATAATGGCCCCTGGATCTATGAATATGACTAGTCTAGGTACCTTATATAAATGGAACCATACAGTATTTGCCTTTTTGTGATTGGTTTATTTCACTTAGCATAATGTCTTCAAGGTTCATCCATGTTGTAGCCTGTGTCAGAATTTCCTTTTTAAGGCTGCATAATATTCCATTTTAGGTATTTACCACATTTTGTTTATCCATTAATTGACTGATAGATACTCGAACTGCTTCTCCCTTTTGGCTGTTGTGAATGACGCTTCTGTGGACATGAGTGTACCAACATCTCTTCGAGACTCTGCTTTCAGTTCTTGTGGATATATTCTCAGAAGTGGAATTACCAGGTCATCTGGTAATTCTATTTTCAATATTTTGAGGAACTACCATACTGTTTTCCGTAGTGGCTGTGCTGTTTTACCTTCCCACCAACAGTGCCCAAGCGTTCTAATTTCTCTGTATCTTTGGCAACACTTGTTATTTCCTGTTGTCTTGTTGTTCTTAGTAGCCATCCTAAAGGGTGTGAGGCGATACCTCATTGTGGTTTTGATTTGCGTTTCCCTAATGATTAGTGATGTTGGGCACCTTTTCATATGCTTGTTGGCCACATGTATATTTTTGTTAGAGAAATGTTTATTCAAGTCCTTTGCCCATTTTTTAATCAGGTTATTTCTTGTTTTTGTTGTTGAGTTGTAGGGGTTCTTTATATATTCTGGATATTAACCCCTTATCAGATATATGATTTGCATATATTTTCTTTCATTCTCTAGGTTGCCTTTTCACTGTGTTGATTGTATCTTTTTTTTTCTTTTGAGGAAGACTAGCCTGAGCTAACATCTACTGCCAATCCTCCTCTTTTTGCTGAGGAAGACTGGCCCTGAGCTAACATCCATGCCCATCTTCTTCTACTTTATTGTGGGATGCCTGCCACAGCATGGCTTTTTGCCAAGCAGTGC